TCGCATTTACATTTCAACAAATATAGCATATAGGTGACGACTTGCACAATACATAAAGGATAAAAATGATCTATTTTCTTTTTATGGGAACTTTCAATTACAAATCTAAATCACTTCTAAAAAGAGAGATTTTTTAGATTTTGCAATTTGCAATTTGGGAAAAAGAAGTGTGCTAATGTCAGATCAGTACTTGGTATATTGGCTGATAACCTAAGTTTAGTGGCTCTTTATTTGGAGGAATTATTCAATGATGAGAGTTTTGTTACAGTCGAAGCATTGAGAGGGAAACCTGCTCCAGCGCAGATCCTGTTTTCAATACTCAACCTTACGTCTGCTTCTCGTACTAGAACTGTGTTAACTTGTATTTGTTAATCGTTTTATTACCTCGACCTCCGTGTCCCCGTCTCTCTTGCCTTCCTGTCCTCTTCGATCAGAGGACCGATCACTTTTTCCGTCGTGTCGATCAGAACGCTGAAAGTCGGCTCCACGATGAAGTCGATGAAACCTGAAACATGAGAGAAGGGTACAGAAGATAGAAGGAAATTATATCGGTTTGGAAAACACTGAATGTCCTCTTCCAATCTGAGAGCCACATGCTAACAAAGGTATCAACTGTAGCTGTGAACATGACAGGATGTGTGATGACCTAGAAGAGCATCAGGACTGTTTGAGGCATATGATAGCTATGTGATTAACATGATGATTCAGCCTCTATGGAGAGAGACATATGACAAGCATGATCATTTCTGACGTGGAGCTAATCTGAAGTAAACATTGAATACTGCTTTCTATTCCTCCATCTTGTGACTGTGGAACTCCCTCTCTTGGATATCAGCATGTGAAGGACACTGTTCAGGAACTAGTTGATGCTCTGTATGTGATGACTACTTCCATTCTGGAGAGGATACAGATACATGGATCCTGAGATTCAAGACTCAAGCCGGGGACCAGGGAGATTTAACATGAGTTACTCTGCTTTTTACAAGGTGATCATCCAACCCATTCCTCTCCTCAGTTCTTCAGACCACCAGCAGGGGTCTCAAAGTTACCACACACTGACAGCCTATTGTATTATTGATCTTCTTACCGATCTGTGATTGGGCGATCATGGTGGCTTTGCGGTCACAGAGAGGAGAAAAGGGAAGGCCGAGCTCCACCTCTTTATCTCCCTGGTGAGAAACAGTACATTGTAAATATGGTGTGATCAAAACAACTGTGTGATATTTACATCCACATGTTACTGCTTGAACGTGATGGACTCAGCAAAGCAAATGCTGTCATTTCAAAGAGAAGCTGGACAAGCTATGTCATGAAAATATTGGCAAGATCTTTTAAATCAAAAGAAAAACCTGGTGTAGTTCCCAAGTGGAGTACAACTAGAGAGCAGCAGCATAATACTCTAGCAAAGTACAAGCAGCTCAAGTGTGTACTTAAGTACAGTCCATATATATATATGTATATATATCTTATAATAGTGACCTGTCTGAAGAACTCCTCCATCAGGCTGTGGGTCCAGCGGTAGTGCAGCGGCCAGGCTTTAGCGGGGTGACTGATGTCTGCAGCGTGGAGCATCAGAGACAACACCTTCACTTTGTCCAGACTGAGGGACAAACAAACAAGTAGTTCAATAAATACTGAGATGTAAGTAGGAAAAGTCAGGAGAGAAACAAATAATATTGCATATGGAGAGAGTATTGGCAATGGTAATACAAAAAGGAGTATTGCACATGGATGTTGTCGTGCACCGTCAAAAGTGTTGAGTCCGTCACGTTTCATGTTGTTGTTTGGTCATTCTTGTTTTGTCTTTCACTTCCTGTTTTGTTTTGACACTCACTTGTTACGTCTCATTCCAGGTTCCTTGACTTGTGTGTTTCTCCGCGCTCATCAGCGCCAGCCCCGCCCCTGATTGTTTTCACCTGTGCCCAGTTATCTCCTGCTTAACTTCCCCAGTCTCCCTCTGTCTGTTGTCAGTTCGTATTGTCACACGCCTTATTCATGCTCCTGAAACTTATTGTAAGTTTGTTCCTCACGTTATCTTTTTTGTATCCTTTTGGCAAATAAAGTATATTACTTATACTTTATCTCTGGCTCCCAGGTCGTGCATTTGAGTCCTTTTTCCCGTGTATCCAAGTTCATAACAGATGTTAGAAAACAAATACTGAAAAATGATGATTAAATATGTTTTTAATTGCACATGGATAAAGAAAGATGTATTGCAGGTGAATTTAAAAAGAGTTTTAATGCACATGTATGTAAAAACAAATGTGCACGTGCATGTTTAAAGTTAAATATTGCACATGGATGATAAAGAAAATAATAATGCATGAAACAAATATTGCTTTTCATGCATTTCGAACAAGATATTCTGCATCTTAGAAATGTTTTTGGCACGTGCATGTTAAAAAAAAGGTAACCGGCACATTTGTGTAAAACATTTTATATTGCATCTGAAAAACAAACATTTACTTTAAAATGTGATGTTGTTTGAGGTGATTGAAAAGGGTCATTTTGCCTTAAAGGAAGCTTGTGTTGTTTGCCAGTTGTTTTACAGGACTGTCTCAGAAAATTAGAATATTGTGATAAAGTTCTTTATTTTCTGTAATGCAATTAAAAAAAACAAAAATGTCATACATTCTGGATTCATTACAAATCAACTGAAATATTGCAAGCCTTTTATTATTTTAATATTGCTGATTATGGCATACAGCTTAAGAAAACTCAAAAATCCTATCTCAAAAAATTAGAATAGTTCCTCAGACCAAGTAAAAAAAAAAGATTTATAACAGCAAAACACAATCAAACATTTGAAAATGTCCATTAATGCACTCAGTACTTGGTTGGGAATCCTTTTGCACGGATTACTGCATCAATGCGGCGTGGCATGGAGGCAATCAGCCTGTGGCATTGCTGAGGTGTTATGGATGCCCAGGATGCTTCAATAGCGGCCTTTAGCTCATTAGCATTGTTGGGTCTGGTGTCTTTCAGCTTCTTCTTCACAATACCCCACATATTCTCTATGGGGTTCAGGTCAGGGGAATTTGCAGGCCAATCGAGGACAGTAATGCCATGGTCAGTACACCAGTTACTGG